TGAGTGTCATGGAAATTGAAAAGCAGTGTTATCAAAGCACAAAAAAGCTCTAAGATCTATTAGGGCTTTAAGCGCAAATAAAGCGTGGGCATTAATGAAGAAAGGCGCAAATGGAGAAAAACTAAAAATATGTACCAATATCAATAAGTATGAATACCAAATATAAGGACAAAGAAATTGAAGAAAATTTACGATAAAGTAAAATATCAATTGCTTAGTGTCGTCAGGGGTGGATTTAGGGGGGCGGAAGGGGTTCACCCGAACCCCCTTCGCCGAAAAATTACACTGTATATATAAGGCAAAATCTGTTTTTTACATATATATAAGTTTTGAACCCCCTTGACACAACCCAAAAGTGTAGCTTAGTGGTCAAGTGGTCAAGGGGGTTCAAAATCTTTGAAAGGTTTTAGGTTCAATTCCCACTAGCTACGATCTTTTTTTTCTTGAACCCCCTTCGCGGAGATCCTGGCTCCGCTATTGAGTGTCGTCTCTTCAGAATTATTAGCAAGGAGAGGTATGCCTTAGAACCTTGATGAAAACACTAAAGCGCCCGCTAAGCGAGGTGAAGCGCTCAATATGTTTCGAGCCTGGCCTTAGGGCTTAAGCGCGCTTTAAGTAACACTGTTGAAAAGGAGTAGTAGTGACTTCCTTTTGTGTGGTCATGTCACTTTTTCTTATCTATTTCCCATCATCCCACGTATTTAATATATAGAGAAGTCATCTACAGTAGGTGGGTATAATTAGTTAAGATGCCTACCTCTTATCAAGGTTCAGCAAATACGGACGAAGATTGAACTAGATTTATCTGGGAGTTCCTGTTCTTGCAGAATTAACAAAGAAGTGATAGAATCATGCTGTTTCTTCTTATGAATTCTGATCTCTTGTGCTGAGATAATTGATCAACAAAAAACCTTAATAGATGTTCGTATGACGGGCATTTTATTACCTAAACTCATACTCACTGCTTCATGGAAATAAGTACTTGGACAATAAATCTAGACTAGTTTGAGATTTCCTGTTAACAAAGCAATAAGTGGTACCTTACATAGGAAAAATGGTAAAGTATCTTTAATTTCTTCCCAAGAGGTGAGTTCTCTTGTCTGCTAAATGGCATATGGTCATCTGACATTCCGGAGGAGAAAAATAAAGAATAAGGACAAGCTACTCGGTGGGGAGTAAGATGACTTCCAGAATTGGGAAGACTCTTGGTTACTTTTTCAGATGTAGATACAATTGTCTACTGCAAACATTTATTTTATCCCTTGAGCTAGTTCTCCTGTTGTATTTGAGATCTTAGTAATTTTCTCGTGCTACTGTTTGTAGAAATGGATGCCAGCTGTGAAGGAACAGTGGGTGGTAATCACCACTAACCTCAATCCACACGCGGAATTGCTAAAGACCAAAACATTTGAGATTTATGAAACATCTAAAGGCGCCATAACTCCACATATTGTCAAAGTTCAGGAACTAGCAGAACCCCATGTTCAGGTGACATCCCTTATCTAGTTCATTTAAATGAACAATAATTTTTAACCTCTCACGAGTAAATAAAAAATATAGTTTCATGTTCTTGCCATATGTGCATCAAATTTATAACTGCTACATGTTTTCCCGGCTTTATTTGTATGTGATGTGCCAAAGCATAATTTTTTGCAGGAACTTAAGAAATTCAGCAAGCCATACATTGATCAGGTTGCCACTGCTACAAAACCTCATGTGGATAAAGTGCGTATTGCTGTAAAGCCATACACAGATGTGGCAGTTCATCATTATGGAAAGTTCCTTGAGTCTGCAACGGTATACCATCATCAGGTGTGAGAACATAAATAGTCCCTGAAATATTCAGATCTTACAGATGTGTACTTGGGATTAAGATATACAGTCCGTCTCTTTATAAACTTTTCCAGTAATTTTACTACTGCGTCAGTTAATCGTGTATTCAAGTTTCAATAATACCTGTAAACTCGTTTCTCAAAAAAAAAAGAAAAGAAAGAAGATCCTGTAGACTCTTTAAGTTACTTTCTCTGCCTGTCTTCTTGCTGCATCTGTACTCTTAGTGTGGAAGAGTCTTGTTATAAAGAATGATTTTGCTTTAGCTACTAAATTGTCCAATTTAACTTGGGGAAATGTCTTGGGAATCAGTGCATGAAGAGTGGTTGAGTTACCGGTGTGTATTCCCAACAGTTTCCAAGTTCTGATTCTTTTGTGGTTTAGCTCTGCCAGTGATGGTCATTTTTCTTCTGCTGGTTATGTTGGATTCATCTTCTCTTTACCTATTAAGATGATAAAGAAGAATGTAAATTGACTAGAAGAGTAGCTTTCGAACTCTGTCAGAAGAGGTAACGATGTTATATTATAGTCGGAAGAGTTGGTGAGAATATATTTCTGCTTCTGATCTTTACCAGTTGAATGATCTGGTGGAAGAATCTATGAAGTAGCGAATGTCTTTGCTATTATGCCTATGCTGCTTGAATGTCTTTACTATTATGCCTATGCTGCTTGAATGTCTTTGCTATTATGCCTATGCTGCTTATAGCATTTAATTATGTCCATCAATTTTAAATCAACGTTTCATGCCATTTGAAGCTGCAAGACACAGTTGACGAAACACTGAAGAAACATGAGCTTACAAGACCTCTTGCAACAAAGGAGTTTGTCTGGTTTGCTGTATGTATCTTTTATTCCTATTCTATGGTCTTGCCATCATCCTCTCTTTCTGATGATCTCATACTTGAAGTTTTTGCTGATTTTTATGATGTAGGCCTCAGCAGTGTTGGCTCTGCCCGTTATAATACTGTTCAAACTTTTGTCTGCCATTTTCTGGTTAGCACAGTTTTTTTTGCTCCCTTGTTTGCAAAATTCGCAGTGATCTACCTTCTATATAAAAGTTTCTGCAGGTTTACTCTTTTAATGAGGCTCAGAATTGCCTGTCTTTTGATTATCTATTACAGCACAAAGGCGAAGAAACCCAGCCGAAATGGTCATGCACACCATTCACGTCGTAAGGCCAAGAGGGTACATGCAGACAAGTAGGCAAGGAAGTACACTGCTTTCATCAGAAATCAAGCGCTTTACGGTCACAGGTATCACATTTGAATTAGTTTATGGATGCATTGATATCTTGCATCAGATTTATACTCCTATTTTCCATGTGTCTCGGTGGATCAGATTTACAGTTTCAGGTTTTCAGATTAAAGGTTAATGGTAGTAGTATAACATGTTTTTTAGGTAGCCTCTCTAAGAAATATTCTGAAGCTCCTTGGCATATGCTGCCTGCATGTTCTTTTGCTGTGATAAGGTGACTTTTGCAAGCATATTTAATATCTGATAGAGACCAAATTCAAGTCACTCCCCTTGCCAGCAAGAAAAAACGCCAAAAAGATGAGTGATGAAGGAGAGGTGAAAATGTAAGTTTTTGAGAGGGCTAACTTGCTCATAAAGTTTGTGCAAAAACAAAAATGAGGACTCCGTCTTAATGTATTCATGTTAATGGACCGTGGGTAATTGCTGATGCCTTGCGACAGAAAGAAACAGAAGAGACAGAGTTTATCTATTTTGGAAAATTTTGCAGCAAACCCTGCTGTGTGTAGCTTTACCCTGAAAGGAAAATGAGCTTTGCTCCTTCCTGCTCTCCTGTGGTTCGCATGAAGGAAGAAGGATGTTGCGTATGGTTAGTCTGCTGTCTGCCCAAAATCTAAAGTAACACATGTCCTCAAGTTTATCTGGCTAGCAACGTTCACCCCAGATTTACCCACATATAATTGATAAACATATTCCCTGAAGAAATGGAACAATTTCGTGTTGAATTTATGTGTCTTTGGGGAATAACGCAGTAAAAACCAAAAAACTTCCTGAAATTACCTGTCAACAATATTTCTGTATGTGGCGAAAAAGGATATTTCTGTTGTCCTCCACTGCTTGGCGTCTGATATTTTGGTTGTTTCATCTTTTGCAGGTTGGTTGTCATTCTGTCGCTGGGTGTTTGAAGTGTCGAGTCATCGTGCAGAATCTCTTTATGTTTTTGAAGTTTCTTGCCGTAGGTTTTTCATGATGTGCATAAAGCATAAATTGGGGATACAGAGGAGTAGGTTTGATATTTTTTTGTTGGTGTATCACAGCTTTTACATTGGTTAGTGTCGGTGTTGTGTACTATGATCTCTCCAGCGTGCTGTTACGTTAGAAACTTGTCACTCTTTCCACATCAAAGTTAATATATTGACTTAGTTGTATTATTTATTAAATACAAAGATCTTGTCTTAGTTGTATTAAGATCTCCATATTCATAATTGATAAGAGGTTATTTCTGTTTAATCTTTTCTAATCATGTTTTTATGAAATGTCTTTATTTGGGTAAAAAGGACCCTCTGTGACAACAGACGGAATTACTACAACCCTTTGGCTAATATTTAAGCACCAAGGGTGGAGGATGTTTGCAATTCATATGTTTTCTTTATTCTGATCTGTTCTTGTCTAAAGAGAACTTGTTCAAGAGAACATGAAACCAAGCATAGGTGTTATTATTGTTACTGCTAACTTTTGTTGTGTGCCAAGTTTGGTCCAGTCTGTTCACATCAATTTGCGCCACCTCGTCTTAAGATAAGATATAGAAACATCAATTTGCGCCACCTCGTCTTAAGATAAGATATAGACAATAAGACTTTTAAGTGTGAGAATACTGAGGACGGAAGTCTATTGGGGGGAGCAAGTCTCCCATTGCTTTCGCAAACCAGTGGGTACAACCCCTAATTATACTAACAAGCACATATATAGCAAGAAAATTCGAACAATCATGGCATGTTCAACTATTTTTACAATGATGGCATGCTCAATTATTTTTTAACTTTGCTATGTTATGCATTTTAAGTATTGTTGTAGCTCATCAAGTGTATTCCATTACCTTATGCGTATCAATAATATACAGGTAGGGCCTGCCTTAACCTGTGGTTTTATTTTAAAAATGTCAGCTAGCTTAACTAGTACTCCTAGAGCAATCCAATCCGTAACAGAAGAAAAATAAAATCTTTTCCGATCCATCAAACAATTCCTTAGCTTTAACATTGTCAACCAATTTGCACAGGTAGAAAAACAACAGGATCTTGAGAGTGACAAAGCAAAAACCTATTTTTCTTAAAAAAAAAACAGATGGTGAGTTTATTTCCTATCAAATATAGAAGTACTAGTAATAACTTTAGAAGAAAATAGATCTATCTATATAGCCAAACTAGCTACTTAATTTAAGATAAAACTTGTCCTATTATATTAGATGATCTTCTATTTGGAAGTTATGTTGATAGGATCCTCTAAAAATGTTGTAATATCTCTTGTCGGATCTGTATTATTTTTGGAGGATTTGAAAAACATAGCCTGAAAATCGTTATAGATCAATAAGGAGACCAATAGTTCTCCAAATTATCAGCACAATTCTCGACGGCCATGAATCTATTCATAGTATTTCCACTATTATTCATATCTGAACCATAACCAGCCTCAGTTGTCATCATATCTTGCTGGTTCATGACTTGTGGTGGCAGCATTGGCCTTAAAGTAGGCTGAGATGTGGTGGCATCACTACCAAGATTTAAGTTCAAGCCTGAAATAGTGAAATAATTACCTCCTCCTCCACCTAAATTAGAGTAATTCATCTGGGATTGAACTGGGAAGCTCATGTTAGACGAGGACGAACCGCCTCGAAAAACCCTATTGAATTCTTGAATTTCTGCATCTGCATGGTTCATGTAACCTCTTCCCATGGCTAATTGGAAGCCTTGAATATGATCAGCTTGAATAATTTGTGAGGACATGGTGCTTGGATTGATCTCAAGAGTGTAGGGGTTCATATTAACTGCCCTTGAATTGTTACAAGGGTACTTTTTGCCTCCTGCACTTTTTTGGAATACTCGGCAAACCACCCATTCATCTTGCTGAAAAATGGAGTGCAATGCAAGTATTTTAGAGCTAAAAAGATGGTTATTAATTACGTAGATTGAAGCATACATGAGTTTAAGTATTAGATCATGACAAATAGATTGAAGCATACATGAGTTTACGTATACTCTTACCATTTATTTTCTTCCTCTTAGCTACGACCTTTAAATTATCAAAAAAGAGTTCAAATATTTGATCTACTTACCCAATTATCAACTCGGGGAAGTGTTAGCTAAGCTATACAAGAAGTTTGACTTCTATCTATTAATAGTGATTTTTTTTACAAGATCAGTTCATTTGATAGGTAACTACCATAATAAGTAGAACTAGTTATCTGAAAAATTGGACAAAAATATATTAAATTACAGCGATAATATATAATCATTTACCATATCGTATATATAAGCTAATTTCAAAAACAAGTAGTATAAATTCTATGGTTTTCGTCCCTTACCCTTCTAAGAAAGAGAATGAGAACAATATAAAGGAATTAAAGAAATTGTAAGCATATTTAGAGCTTTAGATGGAAAGCTAATTCCAAGAAACAAGGAATCTTTTTTCTACAACTACCTTATCTTCTTGCGCAATCACTTAACAAAATGGGTGCACATCCTAATTGGTTTCGGCTGCATTATATTTCCTACTTCTTTAGCTAGAAATTGAAAATTCAGATAGAAGGAACAAAATGTTATATTGTTGCGAATTGGTTGAAAAGATAAATAGAGCGATCAAATTTCATAAGAAATTAATTTATTTTCTGTGAAATGAAAGAAAAATGGGTAGAAAAATATGGATCAGAGGAACTAAAATACTACTAGTACTTTATAGTTAACGTAAGGTTCAAGTAGATAAACTAAAAAAAGTATTAAGAAGGCTCCTTTTTTGCCGCCGACATATATTTTATGTAGGAGTCGCATCTAGCAAAAGAGGGAGCTTCTATATCCGGAATTAAAAGCTTTAACTTAAGGGTATTCAAGAAGTCTCCTTTGATGATCTCCAAAATTACAAAACTATAATATAAATAAATAAATTTAAAAGAGCTTAGTACAATCTTTTTATCTAAATCAGTTTTACCAAAGAAGCACAAAAAGTTCATGCATATATAGGGCACATAACATAAATACATAATGACATGCACGAACATGTTTATTTGAAAAAGAAAATCTTGAAAATTGTCAATATTTGATTCAGAAATACGTTTCCTTTGTTTCAAGGAAAAAAGGGAAAAAAAACACTAATATACAATGACAATGTAAAGAGAACTTTAATTTTGCTATATATATTTTAATCTATTTTGTAGTCCACTATTTTCATATTAATGGTCTCACTATATTTATTATGGATAGAAACTCCAGTAATTATCTTATACGTGATCTGATAATGAGTTTATAAAAGTTAAATTATAAGGAAAAAAGATGGAGTGTACCTTGTGTGTTCTATAGGAGGATTTGGAGTGGATCCTATATTCATGCATTACCCAATTGGTCTTCTCTCCTCTTGGAGCTCTTCCTCTATAAAAAACCAATGTTTTCTTCATACCAACCAATTCTGATGTTGAGCTATTGAAGATCTCCTTGTCTTTGCCAGTAGTTTTCCAGTATCCAGTGTTTGTTGCTCGATTTGTTCTGACTCCTGTTGGATACTTCCTATCTCGAAGGCTGAAGAAATACCATTCGTTTTCTCCTATTTTCGCCTTTCCTGATTATTTTTCATAATAATTATTAGCTAAATCAAGATTTTACATTAGAAATTTCAAGTTTGTTGGGTAAATTTAATTAACGTATTCCAAATCTATAGTACAAGAAATGAGTCTTTTCTTCTAATTTTGGTTTTAAAAAGAAAAATAAGGGTAAGCAAATTAAAGAATAGAGCCCCTTTTAAAATTAATTTCATAACAATAGGATGAAGCTTGCAGTCAATTAAAGATGCACCATTTAGTAGACGTTTTATGTATTTAGATTTTGGAAAAGCGTAGAGTTATATTTACACAATCATTCACTCTATATAACAAGTATTGATTTATGGCAATTAAGTAAGATGTTATAACAAGCTAATCTAGTTGTATCAATAGTGTAAAGGTATTTTATTCGGTCATGTATGTAACTTTAATCCTGTGCCAAAACACTAGATCTTGCTATCGCGATTTGCATAGAAAGAAAAGAAAAAACAGCAAAAGGGTAGAGTTCGTTGAGAAATCTTGAGCTTGCTCTTTGGCAATGTTCATCACTTTTACGAATATTATTTAGCATGATAAAATATAATGGATCTGCATGACATAGTATGAACAAAACCAAGTTTACTTGTTCAATTTCTGAACAAAAAGCTTATAGCATGAAAACAATTTAAAAAACCCTAACTCTTTTCTTGATTAATTTGTACAAACATGGATTACTTATTTCAATGTGCCGAATGCTTGAAAATGATGTTATACGATCAAGGTTTGAGCGTTACAACTACCTGGAAGATCCCAAGGCTCAGATTTGTTAAGATCGACATCGCCAATAGCCCTTGCAGTAAAATTAGTAGAATCAGAAATCTTGTTCACAAGATAATAAGTTATAAGCTCTTCATCAGTAGGATGAAAACGAAATCCTGGTGGTAGAGTCTCTTCCTTCACTTCATCTTCCATTTCTTATTTGTTTTTTTTTTCCAACTACGCTAAAGATTTGTTTGCTTCTTCAACTAAAAACTTCAAGGATTTGACAAGTTCAAAGAAAATCCTAGCTAGGTAGAGCTTGAAACTTGTTAAGAAAAGTTGAAAGAAGGGAAAAAATAAAACTTTTCTTTTGCACCACTTTTTCCTTTGTCAAACAAACACATGAAAAGCTAGATTTAAGAAGTGTGTGAAAATTGAATAACTAAAAGAACTTCCCAAAGAAGAGAAAAAGTTGATTTCTGATTTCTCTCCAAGGGACATGGGAAACCTAGCTAGCTAATTTGTTGTTGCTCAGTGTTGCAAGAAACATTTATTGTTGCTTATATGTAGAGAATATATATGGAATATAGGATCTTTGGATAACTTGTTGATAAACATTTGCTAGTTTTATAAGCTTTAGGGTTCTTGAAATATAGGTGGAAGGGTTTTCTTGCTGCTGAATTTAAAGGAGAAAGAAGGTAGAGTGTGTTCGAGAAGCTCTCACCTACCATGGTTCTTAAGGTACACGGTGCCTCACCACATGCTTCAGCTTCGAGTTTAACTTCTTCTATTCAATTGTCATATATTATTTTTTATACTATCGGGTCATTTAAAAAATAACTTTAGATAGTTTTTCTTAATAGTAGATACACATGAAAAATTAGGTAATTAGTTACATGCTATAACATGTAAAGTTTTATTGTTATTATTAAGGTATTTGCAGTATAGTATATAAGTTAAATTCATTGAAAAGTGAGTTGAACGAAAACACATTTTGAAACTGCAATTACATTTTTGCCGGTTGGCCTGTTGGCCAGTAATAGTGAGCATTACTAACAAGAGTTGTGGTGGAGTGGTAAGTACTCCTTAATCCTTAATCAGAGGTCTTAGATTCAAGCCCTGTGTATGGAGTTATTTTTGTTAGAGAGCACTTAATGTACCCCTAATGCGGTACTTTCCGGTGCGAATCTAGATTTAGACGGGACTCAATGCGGATAGCGAACACCGAATAAAAAACTAAAAGAAAAAGTAACAGTAAGCACTAATCTTGAAAATATTAGCTTGAGTATGAAAGTACAAGGGGAAGGGGGGGGGGGNTAATGCAGAAATAAAGTGCAGGAATTAAAGACACTAGAATTTTATACTGGTTCGGATTCAATGTGAATCCTACTCCAGTCCCCTTGGGTTGCAAGGGTATTCTCTTTTAGTGATCGAAGTTTCTTGAGTACAGAGTGGTTGATGTAGCTTTACACCAACACTTTGATCTCTATGTCACTTTCCTCTTCTTGATACAATGACTCACCAGTGTTTACCTATTTTTCTTCTCTCACTAATTACACAACAGATCTATAAGAACTACAATGCTTGTTTGGAGTATAACAAAAAGAGTGAAAATAGTTCGTTCAAAGTATATCTTCTTCAAGTATGGAACATATGTATATATACACTTCATGAGGCATTCTTGATTCTTGAATGATCTGAATCTTGAGAGATTGCAAACCCAAAGGAGTTGATTGTTGAAAGGAATCATAGATTGATTCTTTCCAAGAATAAAGTCAAGTTTCCGTTGATCTTCCTTGATTTATGGTCTTGACGAGCTTTTCATCCGCTAGGCATATCTTTTCATTACTTGAGGCATATCCGCTAGATCACTTGATTTCTGGCTTCAATGATCTACAATGCATCCTTTTGTGATCTCGTTTCCCTTTGATTTGGGACCTATCAATAATAGCTTCTGTCAATCATTTTATAGAATCACTTATTGATTCTTCTTTCGGATTTTCGCTGCTCCTTCCTTTTTCATCGCTAATCATTGATTCTTTTCCTTGCGTTGCTTTTAGAGCTCCCGTTAATAGATTGTTTCCTTAATCTATTCTTGGCTGGTATTGCTTCTTGATTCCTTTGGTTTCCTTCTTGATCCTGCACCAAATGTGATATATTATTTTTTATCATTGAAACCTATAATTAACAGTCTTTTCCTTTTTGATGATGACAAAAATAATATATAAACAATAGTTGACTTCCCTGTAGTTAACTTCCCCTTAATAGGAATGGGAGTCATCATACTGACGCTCTCTGATACGATCATATAGAGAAGACCGGGAAACCACGCAGGCAAGAACTCGACTAGGCTCCGAAATATCCAATCTAACAAACTGGTTGTCTAAGGCCTGAACATCCAATACTAATGGCCTCTCCGCTGCCAGTAGATATGCTAAACTACTCAAACTACCACATTGGCCTTCCCGGGATGATATAGAATGGTGATATCATAGTCCTTAAGCAACTCTAACCACCTCCGTTGCTGCAAGTTAAGATCCTTTTGTTTGAACAGATGTTATAGACTCCGGTGGTCGGTAAAGACCTCACAAGGAATACCGTACAAATAATGCCGCCAGATCTTCAATGCATGAACAATGGTTACCAGCTCCAAGTCGTGGACTGGATAATTCTTCTCATAGATCTTCAGCTGTCGAGACGCGTAGGCAGTCACCATACCATCTTTCATCAACACTGCACCAAGTCTAACACGTGATGCATCACAATACACAGTATAAGACCCCGCGCCCGTAGGCAACACTAACACTGTGCTGTAGTCAGAGCAATCTTGAGCTTTTAAAAGCTCGCCTCACACTCCTCGGACCATGTGAAAGGAGCACCCTTCTTGGTCAATTTGGTCATAGGTGAATCAATAGATGAGAAACCCTCTATGAAATGATGATAATACCCGGCCAACCTAAGAAAACTCCAGATCTCAGTAGCTGAAGACGGTCTGGGCCAACTATGCACTACTTCAATCTTCTTCAGATCTATCTTGATCCACTCACTTGACATCATATGACCCAAAAACGCCACCGAATCAAGCCAGAATTCACACTTTGAGAATTTTGCATAAAACTTCTTCTCTCTTAAGGTCTGGAGCACGATCCTCAAGTGCTGCTCATGATCTTCCTAACTGCAGGAGTACACCAAGATGTCGTCAACAAACACACTGACGAATGAATCAAGATAAGGCTGAAATACACTGTTCATCAAGTGCATAAATATTGCTGGGGTGTTGGTCAGCCCAAATGACATCATACGAAACTCGTGGTGACCATACCGAGTCTTGAAAGCAGTATTCGGAATATCTGGATCCCGAATCTTCAGTTGATGGTAACCTGACCACAAATAAATTTTTGAGAACACTCTAGCACCCTATAGCTGATCAAATAAGTTATCAATGCATGGCAATGGACACTCGTTCTTCACTATAAACTTGTTCAGCTGTCGATAATCAATACAAATTCATATAGAACTATCTTTCTTCTTCACAAACAAGACCGGAGCACCCCACGACAACATACTAGGCCGAATGAAACCCGTATAAAGCAACTCTTGTAACTGCTCCTTTAACTCATTCAGCTCCGCTGGGGCCATACGATATGGTGAAATAGAAATGGGCTGAGTGTTTGGCAACAAGTTAATACCAAAATCGATATCCCTATCGGGCGGCATGCCTGGAAGATCCGCCGAAAATACATCTAGAAAGTCTCTCACCACCAGAAATACTCTCGAGCCTAAGCTGCTCCTCCTCAGATGTTACCTCGTTAACCGCGGGATGAACTGGAACAACAGGCTGTACCAGTATAACCCTGATAGACCTGGACCATATGCTTTGGGGTACGTGCCGTGGGAGTCTATGCTCCTCCCCCAGCCCGAGATATGGCCGGTGCAAGTGGGATCAACCCCGCCTGAGCTAAGGTACTGAACATGCTCAAGAACTGTGCAAGGGTCTCCTGAAGTGCTGGGGTGGCAACAGGCACCTTAGGTGCCTGTCCCCCAACTGGTGCTACTGGTGGCTCCTCTGTCGCAGCTCAGGAAGGTGCTCTGGCTGCACCACGTACCCCTCTTCAGCCTTTGCCCCGGACCCAGCCTCTCGCGGCTCCAGCAGGGGGCACATGTGTCTGATCGACATATCCAGTAGTGTGTGTCCTCACAATCTATGAGAGAATAGAAAGTCAAATGTTCAGTTTTCGAAGTCAACCAATTCGCATGATAAAGAATCAAATAAGTGAAGTTTTTCTAACAGTTCTGTAGCCTCTCGAAGATAAGTACAGACTTCTCCGTACCGATCCGCAAGATTGTACTAAACCTGCTTACGACTCTAACACCTATGTACCTAGATCTCTGATACTAACTTGTCACGACCCCATTTCCCTCTGTAGTATATTGTGATGGCACCTACTCTCTACGACTAGGTAAGCCTAACATTTGATAACAACTCAATAGATATAATTAAAAATATATTAAAAACTAGTCTGATAAACTCATATAAACTTTCAAAAAAATAATCTCAACCATACACTCCTCAAGAACAGTGGAACAGAGTCATAAGCTCTATAAAGTAAAACTAGAATAACTACTACATCACTGTCTGAAAGAAAATACAACAGTAAACAAGAGTAAAAGGGAAGGTGATTCCGAGGCACGCGGACACCGAGCAGGCATACCTTGAAGTCTTCATATAGCATCTAACAAATGACTTTTAATGACCGGCACGAGCAGAGGTACCTGAATCTGCACACAAATATGCAAAAGCGTAGTATGAGTACACCACAACGGTACCCAGTAAGTATCAAGACTAACCTCGGTAGAGTAGTGACGAGGCCAGGTCAAGATACCTACTAGGATATAAATAAGTCAAAAAGGCCTCCTGGCCACTTAAACTTGCACCTGATTGTCATGCCAGTAAATAAACTTTTTACATTCCTATATGAACACTTCAACTTGAGCATAAGTGAACTAATAAACACCTCCGACCGTTGAATCATAATGCGTGCATTACAATTTCACAAACGTGGCAACCCAGTCAACAATATATGAATTAAAACCTGCCACGTGTCATTTTTTACCTAAAGACCCTAAAACACTCATTTTCAGTCGTCTCTATCAAAGAACTCTACATTTTCAATCGTGCTGCTCAAATTGAGTCTACTCAAATGGAGTGAACGATTGTTATAGGATTTTCCGCTCATTAGATCATCTGCATAGCTCTGCCAGGAGCTCGCCAAATCCCCAACCCATCATTTTCAATGGTCAAAGTGTGACTCAACCATAGAACCTTTAAGCGCCACTGAATAACTCGTTTCCACTGTTATCGACGGCTTTGCCAGCATATTCGATCCGAAATATTTTACCGTCTGGCGATAATATCATCACCGATAAGTCACAACCTATTCCTATGCTGCTCATTTTTTAAGTTTTGATTCCTTTGTTGTGAAATACTATAGATTTTACTGATTCAATTTTAAGTTCGAAGATTTTTTGCTTGGAACTATGAGCGACGAAATATACATAGAAAGAGGAAAAGAGTTTTCTTTTGTGTCAAGACAGAAGAAGAATTGGAAGAAAAAGGGAAGTGTTAATGAAAAAAATAAAAGAAAAAGGAAGAGATAAGAGGACTGTG